TTTTCGTAAACTTGCCAGGAGCACGAAAAGCAGGCAAAAGCCCGGACCTCATCAAATGTCTTCTAAGAATAGCGTCACGCTCGAGAAGAATCGACATGGTCCAACGTGGCTTACGCACGGAGGTTTGACATGCATGTATCCTGTATCATCTATATTCGTGGCAGAATATCTAGAAAACGTTGGGAAAGCCTCGCTTGGGTTGTCATTCCCTAAGAACGCGGGGAGCATGTCCGTTAGACCCAGGAGAATGCCTGGGTCTTTGCAACGTTAGGTGTTTAGGGAGCCTACTCTTATGAGCTGTGCTCTCTGAGCCGCTGGCCACCTGCACGCATCCCCGCGTACATCACTGTGTTCCAATTCTCTCCTTGCCACCCAAAACCCAAACACAAGGTCTTTGACCTCAATAGCCTTTGAAGGACTTTCATGGATTTGCTGCAAAAAACTGCCCAAAAAACAATAATGACTAATGTATTGATCCCTTGAATTCAGTCCTGTCATGATCTGAAAGATTGTAACCTCGCTAATCACTGTGGAAGCTTGAATGATCTGACAGGTGCCAAGGCCAAGATTGCAAGGATATCAACCTCTATTGCCTCCCTCAGGTCCAGGCCAATGCCCAAAGAAAGGTGTCAAAGTTGGCACGAGGAATGCAATCCTGCGAAGGATCCAAGACCAACTAGCATCCGTCTCCAAGAAGGCGAGGACGCTACTAGGGGCTCCGGGCATTGCTACTAGTAACAAGAAGCTACTAGGGGCGCCTTACTACTAGGAGCAAGGACGCTACTAGTAACAAGTGCATCGCTACTAGTAACAAGGGCATCGCTACTAGGAGCAAGAAGCTACTAGGGGCTCCTGGCCTTACTACTAGGAGCAAGAAGCTACCAGGGGCTCCTGGCCTTACTACTAGGAGCAAGGACGCTACTAGTAACAAGTGCATCGCTACTAGTAACAAGGGCATCGCTAGGAGCAAGAAGCTACTAGGGGCTCCTGGCCTTACTACTAGGAGCAAGAAGCTACTAGGGGCTCCTGGCCTTACTACTAGGAGCAAGAAGCTACTAGGGGCTCCTGGCCTTACTACTAGGAGCAAGAAGCTATTAGGGGCTCCTGGCCTTACTACTAGGAGCAAGAAGCTACTAGGGGCTCCTGGCCTTACTACTAGGCAAGAAGCTACTAGGGGCTCCTGGCCATACTACTAGGAGCAAGGGCGCTACTAGTAACAAGTGCATCGCTACTAGTAACAACTACTAGGAGCAAGAACGCTACTAGTAACAAGTGCATCGCTACTAGTAACAAGGGCATCGCTACTAGGAGCAAAAAGCTACTAGGGGCTCCTGGCCTTACTACTAGGAGCAAGAAGCTACTAGGGGCTCCTGGCCTTACTACTAGGAGACTAGGAGCAAGGACGCTACTAGTAACAAGCGCATCGCTACTAGTAACAAGGGCATCGCTACTAGGAGCAAGAAGTTTCTAGGGGCTCCTGGCCTTACTACTAGGAGCAAGAAGCTACTAGGGGCTCCTGGCCTTACTACTACGAGCAAGAAGCTACTAGGGGCTCCTGGCCTTACTACTAGGAGCAAGAAGCTACTAGGGGCTCCTGGCCTTAGTAGTAGGAGCAAGAAGCTACTAGGGGCTCCTGGCCTTACTACTAGGAGCAAGAAGCTCCTAGGGGCTCCTGGCCTTACTACTAGGAGCAAGGACGCTACTAGTAACAAGTGCATCGCTACTAGTAACAAGGGCATCGCTACTAGGAGCAAGAAGCTGCTAGGGGCTCCTGGCCTTACTACTAGGAGCAAGAAGCTACTAGGGGCTCCTGGCCTTACTACTAGGAGCAAGGACGCTACTAGTAACAAGTGCATCGCTACTAGTAACAAGGGCATCGCTACTAGGAGCAAGAAGCTACTAGGGGCTTCTGGCCTTACTACTAGGAGCAAGAAGCTACTAGGGGCTCCTGGTCTTACTACTAGGAGCAAGAAGCTACTAGGGGCTCCTGGCCTTACTAC